GCTCCTTTACCAGCTAACGCGATAAAATCTAAGTTTTTCGCGCGATTTTCGAACTGATTCAGACTAGTCGAACGTGACATTTTACGATGCTATAGACCCATGATACAATCGCATTCAGATATGAACCCATGATAGACAGCCTTCAAATATTTTGCGATAGCGATCTCGCATTTCAAATTCATGAAACCGATCTGCCACCAGTTTCCCGTGGTTTTAAATTCGATATTCCTGTCTTATATCTGGACGCTTTCGTTATTTCACGGCAATTTATCAAGATAGAACATCGAGCGAAAAGTCTGGTTGCGGGGACGTAAATACACTTGTCGCATAAATTCAGCCAGCCATTCATTACCCATACCAGTATATTATCAAGAGCGTATAAGCCTTCTTTATACGCTCTTGATATTATTCGTGTATTATGGCGCTGCTCCGAAATTACTGCTATCTGTTGTCAAGAACAGATTACATAAACCGATCGGTGTAAACTAAATTAGAAATTGTTTGGAGCATGGCGCTTTCGTACCCATTGTTTGCTATATCATTGCAATAACAAGCTTACAAGCTTCCAATACTACAAATTAGCAAATTAGCAAATTATCAAATTAGCTTAGCAATATTACAAGCTTCATTTAACTCGGTAATTAATACCTTTCATTAAAACACTGGGAATAACCTCTTTGAAGCTGGATTATGAAAAAGACGCGGCGGGGTTTTCTACTGATGTTGACTATAGCAAAGGTTTCCTATTAGGTTGCAGCACTGTGCTGCCCAATGGGAGTCATTGTGTACGTCTTGATGTAATCACACAACCTGACTACATCATGCCATTGCGTCTATAAGATTTTAATAGGTTGACGCCTGGCGTCGCTATTCTAAAATGCATTTGCCAAGGTGTGTGTGTGTGTGTGTGTGTGTGTGTGCTTGTGCTGTCTGTGTGGTGTGTGTGTTTGTGTGTGTGTGTGTGTGTGTGTGTGTGTGTGTGTCTGTGTGTGTGTGTGTGTGTGTGTGTGTTGTGTGTCTGTGTGTGTGTGTGTGTGTGTGTGTGTGTGGTGTGTCGTGTGTGTGTGTGTGGTGTGTGTGTGCGTGTATGTGTAGTGTGTGTGTGTGTTGTGTGTGTGTGTGTGTGGTGTGTGTGTGTGTGTGTGTCTTGTATCTTTGTCTGTGTATGAGCGTGTGCGTGTTTCATGCGAGCGCGCGGTGTTGCGTGTATCCTTGTCTGCGTGCGGGCATGGGTGAGCGTTCGTTCGTGAATGCTTGCGACCGTGTCATGAAGCGCCTGTTGAGTATTATTTTGCTCTTGTTGTGTTCGCTCTCGTTTGTGCTTGTATGCGGTTACAAAGCAGATCAACTTGTTATTGCGACTGGCAGCAGACGTGGGTTTGTATAGCCGTGCTAAAACAACTAGTTTCAAAGTTCTTGCTTTGTATTCTATCGGAACTGCAAAATAGTATTCATGGCAGTCATCATGTATATAACATCGTTATAATGTTATTTGCACTTAGGTTAGTTTGTAACTTCCATTTACAAAGCGGTTAAACTATATTACAATCGGTACGAGAAATAGGGTCATATAACAGTGTTAAAATATGCTAGTGTGAAAATACACTATACGTTTAGTGGAACCGTAAAATAGTGGTAACCATCTCCGTTATTTTCCGAAATATATATTTTATGCTGCGCCTTTTGTGAACTTGAAGGGTCTATGTTGAAGGTATCACGATGGCAATTCAGCCAATCGGCGGTGGGATAGGTCAGAAATTAGTACCTTTTTGAGTGTCTGCATGCGCTAGAATTTTGTATTTCTTATTAGAAAGGATTATAAATGTTTGCAATTGTTAATTTCAGAAACTAGAATCTTTTCTTGAATCCGACAGTGTAAACGGCTCGTCCGAGTGCGTTGCTGGGCGGCCCGTGGATTTTCAAAGAAAGCCTACTTTTTGTGCAGATTTTACACTGTAAATTGGGCAATTGTAGTGTGTGCTGCAAAATGTTTGTTGACAAGAAGAAATTAATGGAAGAATTTTTTTGTTAATAACATATATGGTGGCACTTGCGACTTGAGAATCAGAGAATGGCATTATTATTTGTAAAAGAAACTCTTGCTGATTTATGCGATTTTTTCGTAAGTATGGCCGTTCTATGGGAAACCATTTGCCAGTGTGAACCCTTGAACACCGACTCACGGCGGACATTTTGATGACGTCAGTCTAATCAGAGGCTCCTGGTGGAAGCACTCAAGCACCCGGATGAGGCAAGGAAGAGAGGGTAGAATAGCGTAGGAGATTAAATTACTAGATAGATAAGATTAAGACTACAGATTATGGTCAAGGTTACGGTTAATATGTGTTTGGCACCGTGGCTCAAGGGCTCAGGTACGGAATTAGGGTTGGGAATAGATTAGGAATAGAATTAGGGATCGCAATAAGATAATACTCATCGTATTATGATCAATGTTAATGAGTCCAACGTTCGATTTTAATCATTTCTGCTACGGATTTAACGTTCTGCCCGCGATGACGATTGTCTGCGGTTACCACGCAGCTCGTGCTCACGGCTACAGCGGAACTGTTAAGCCTAGCGCAGACTTGCGACTTTTGGTTGCGATCGGCACTGCAACCTGCAATCGCATGCGATCGGTCGCACGCTTCACGGTGTGTGCGCATGCAAGTCGCTATCTCACCCGCAATATGCGATTTCGAAGCGATTTTTCGGAGCGATTGGGAGGGCGACGAGTTGCTGAAATCAAACCAGTTTTGATTTCTTGCAACTCGTTGCAAAGCGACCAGAATCGCTACGAGTTGCAGTTGCACGTTCCCGCAAACATAGCGATTTCACAGCAATTTCGACTGCGATTCTAGATTCTTTCTGCGATGCAAAAGTCGCAAGTCTGCGATAGGCTCTCGTGTATCGGTGCCAACAGGTAAAAATATTATTTAGCCAAATTATATAGCGTATAAAGTCATTATTTACTAAATAATGCCTTTATATAATAAATAATATATTTGAAAAATTGTATTATTTGCAAATATAACATATTTAACATATAATATATTATATAAATAAGATAATCATTATTTATCATATAATATATTATTTAACATATAATTATATTATATAATAAATAATAACATTATTTAATATAATATATTATATATTTATATAAAGGCATTATTTAGTAAATAACTGTTATTTATCTATACTCTTGATATACAGAGATATATAGCGATTTCACAGCGCGTTCACGACCCGCGTTCACGACGGAGCGAAGGAACTCGGGTCGAAAACGACCCGTGTCCGAAAACGAACGGTAGCGTTTGAAGAGAGCGTTCACACGACGCTATGCGAAAGATGCGAAGCTGAGAAAAAGTACAATCCGTCCAAGGCAAACAATGCGAATTAAACAATCAAACTCTCTGACTGACTTCCAACTATTCTTGTTTACTTTCGTGTTGTAACGTACTAATTCCATCAACCCGAGTCCGGCGCTTCCACACGGCAAAAAATGAACGCAGGACTCGGAGTCGTTTTCGACGCCGTGAGTCGTTTTTCGCACCCACTTGGAGTGGTGTCGAAAAACGATCGGTCGTAACGACCCGAGTCGTTTTGTACCGAGAAAACGTCCGTGTGAACGCTCGTCCCGGGACGCATTTGACACGGGTCGTTTCGACCCGCAGTTGCCTTCGCTCCTGTGTGACGCGCATAGATTAATTTAGACGTCTGGTCGATCGACTCTCTACTCATCCACGATAGACTGCACAGTCCATTTAGATAACCCGTCGTCACAGCATTATAGTCTCGCAGTTGATGTATCGCGATTGTTATTATTCTATTACTACACTAGCCACTGGTTAGGGAACTATAACGAAAAAGATTACTGCGCAACATGTGGCGTGAACAGAGAGAGAAAAAAACAGCAGAGCTTGGCAGCTGCAACGTCCAGCAGGAGAAATCTGCAAATCTGCAAATTAGTGACAGGCGACGATACGACACTGGATTGCTATATGCTCAGATTTTTATATACCGTAATATCAAGAGCTAATAATACCTAATAATAATAACAATACCTAATAATAATAACAATACCTAATAATAATAACAATACCTAATAATAATAACAATACCTAATAATTAACAGTTATTCGCCAAAGGCGAGGTGAATCTTGTTGAATAATCCCCGAGACGAAGTCGAGGGGATTATTCAACAAGATTCACCGAGCCTGAGGACACAGCATTTCAGCTGTAAAGCGGAACGAAGTTGACTCGCCAATATTTGTCATAGGAAGATTCTTCCTATAACAAATAGTGTCATAGGAGAGCGTATATGCGTATGTCGTATTTATCATAGATGCAAGCAGAACATGTTGCATATATCGTTGGGGCTGGAATTGCGTAGTGTTGCTAGATGATACGCGCACGAAATATGGCGTGTAACTGAGTCCTGTAATATGTCCTGTTAACAGGAACGTTTATGTTCACGTTCGCGCACGCTTCAGAAGATCCATCATCATTCAGGGAAATAACAGATATATACACCCATCACTCACCACCCACATTCCCTTGATGACTGTAAGAGGCAGCAGCTAATAATCTCTGATTCGCGCGACCACGCACGCACGCACGCGCGCATGCATGCACGCACACGTGTACTGACACGCTGCTTATACATAACCAGTGATTCGATGACGCCGAGATCATCATTGAGGGAAATGGGAGATAAGCACCGCATTTACTCATCATCTAAATTCCCTGATGGCAGTAAGAGGCAGCAACTAATAGCGACTACTCACGCACGCGCGCATGCGCGGTGCGGCCGGCGCCCAGGCGCGCGTATAGGTAGGTCGGTATGAATGAACACGGCGCATGCACGACGCTACACGGTTCATCACCGCGGCAGCGTCACACACATACGCTTATTCCTCCAGCGGAGCATCATTGCTATCAGCTCAGCTTCCCCTTGCTTAACTCACGCGGCGGTGCGTATAGCGAGGTATTTACAGCAATAGCAGCAACACAGCTATAGGCAACAGATAGCAGGTATAGCGAGAATACAGAGACGCATCTCAGTCGCACGTGGCAAGCACGTGCGAACGACCAGTCAACAAGGCGTATAGCGACGTCGCCTGCCTAGTTACGTCCACTGGAAGAACGTTCGGGCATTACACGCCTCTTTGACGTCGTTTATCCGGATCAAGCAGTGCGTGATCACGTTACGCACGCGCAGACATCAGCTGCCTCATCCACGACAAGCCTCGTGCAGACATCGCTGAAACGTCTTCGTTCACCTGCACGCCCGCGATAGAACATCGCTCACGAATTACTCTATACGCCGTCGTAGTATTTCGGCGCACGCACCAGTTGCGTGAGCAGCGCGCATGCTCAGAGGTTACATCGCGACAGGACGCTGACAATCTCGTCAGGTGTCTCGCATCTGTGCGTCTGCTCACGTACGATCCCGGCGCGATACGCGCTGCGTGCACGCTTAGTCTCTGTCTCGCATCCGTTCGCGACATCTGTCTTACCGTACATACGCAACCTCGGTGTTTTTCTGGTACGCGCAAGAGCTCGAAAACAAACGAGAAGAGCGGCCGAGATCTGCCGAACGACAGGAGAAGAGTGAGCTCTTGCTGATAGCCGCGAAGCGACTGCTGTGGAAGATTCCCCCGTCACATCTACACATATCTATTAGCCGTTGCGCGCATATCTCCGCCGCCGCTACCACTGCGTCGGTGACGGAAGGACGAGCAGACAGACGCGTTAGTGTAGCGACGCTGACGCTACTTGCGTCATGGGTTGTGCAACGTCGGCGTCACCCGGGAATCGCTCGGGGGCACAGAGTACAAACGGATCTGTCGATGCACCACTGCCGGAACCCGTCGACCCGCGCCTGCCGCTGACTGCTAGACAACGTTTTAGCATTCAGAAGTCATGGAAGGCTATCGCGAGAAACATGGAGACGACGGGAGTAACGATGTTTGTCAAGTAAGCCACAGTTGCATCTGATTCGCTATATTTTACTACGGTGAATGATCAATTAGTAATAGAAGCGAATTATACATACATATATGCAGGAGTAGATAATAGGGAACTACTATCTACTCCTGATATATGCAGGATATATATACACATATGCGTGCATGCGTGCGAGCGAGCGAGCGTGCGTGCGTGCGTGCGAGCGTGCGTGCGTGCGAGAGAGCGAACCAGCGTGCGTGCGTGCGTGCGTGCGTGCGTGCGAGCGAGCGAGTGTGCGTGCGTGCGTGTGTGTATGCTGCTGATCACGTGGGCAATGCACAGGGATCACCCAATGCACATCGCCCACTGCCTCTGACTCGCCATAGACCATCCCCAATCATTTTCCTCGTGCACTCTACAGAGCTACGTGTTACAGTACCATCTGCTGCCCGCACAAGCCTTACCGACTTTACAAGCTTTGGCTTCTCCGTCACCTGCTCCACCCTACTTCATCCTTCACACTGTTTCATTCATTCTCTCGATCACCTGCCGCAACTATTCCTTTTCTCGTACATGTAGAGTTAAATGTAGTCTCTCCATTACCTGCCCACCACCCTCCCCCTCTTACTCTCTACACTGCTTCGGGTATTTTCTCCATCACCTGCACGCGTCTCCTTCGAGCTCTTCACTTCGTGCTTCGTTAAAACGAGTGCAGCCTACGATCCCATTGGCAGTCTCCAGGTACAATGGGTGTCCAGTCACTTAATTGAGCCAATCTAAATGTAAATTGATAGAAAATAAATATTAATTACATTTACTAGACTCTATTCAAATATGACCTCATATCTCGTGTGCATCTATGCAAATGTGGCGCGTGACAGACTTGGCGCAGGTGCTTTTAGCAAATATAATTCCACTTTATTAACGAGCATTTTTACTATTCAAGCGCCCGAAGTGCATGTTGCCGCGATTACCAATCGCTCTCAATCGTGTTGTCACAAATAAATGCAAGTACACACACACACACACACACACACACACACACACACAACACACAGCACTACACACACGAGACCACACACAGCCACACAACCACACGCCGCACACCACGCACAACTAGTCCACACAACACCGCCGGTCACACGCACCGCGACGCGCGGGACCGCAACGGCACGCACCGCACCCACACACGACAGGCCTTGAACCGTAATAAAAAAAAAGGTAAATAAACACGAAATTACGCAAAGTCTTAATGTTCTCTCCTCTATTTCGCCTATACTCAACTGGAATATGCCGTCAATGCTCATCTGCAACACACAAGTAAACCGAACGCCCGCCGCTGTGCTGGCGTGCACAAACAACCCACTGAAATAAGAGACGATGAATGTCCTTATTCATGTTGTTTGTGCACGCAGCACAGCGCGGGCGGGCGTTCGGTGTACTTTTTTAGGTAAAATCGGTAGGTTTAATCTGGTGCGATTATTTAATACCAAAAAGTCATGCTCGTTTAGATTCAAATTTGACAGTAATGAATTCTTGGTGAGACGCGATACGTACAATTTAATTCCCAATCACGCGTACGCGTAGCGTAACCGAAACGACAGGTAAAAAAAGAACGAAACCGTAATTGCATATTGCGAACCTCGTTTGTAAATCGATATCGTTCTGATGGAGAGCAGCTCGCATCCTGTTCACTGACCAACGTCGTTTCGGATAAAAACCGTATCTCTCCCTATCTCTCTCTCTCTCTCGCCCTCGCTCTCTCGCGCTCTCTCGCTCTCGCTCTCTCTCTTCTCTTCTCTCTCTCTCTCTCTCTTTTCTATTCTCTCTTTCTCGAATCTTCTTTCTATCTCTATCTCTCCTCTCTCCCTCCTCTCTCTCTCTATCTCTCATCTCTCTGCTGCTCTCTTTGCGCGGCTCTCGTCTCTCTATCTCTCTCCTCTCTCTTACTCCTCCTCTCTCTCTCTCTCTCTCTCTCTCTTACTCTCTCTTCTCTCCCCTCTCTCTCTCGTCGGAGCCTCTCTCATCTCCATCTCTCGCTCTCTTTCTCTTTCCCCCTCTCTCTCTCGTCTCTCATCATCTCTCCTCTGCCTCGCAGCTCTCTCTATCATTCCTCTTTCCCTTCCCACTCTTCCTCTCTCCTCCTCTCCCTCCTCTCTCGCTCTATCTCTTTCTCTCAACTCTTCTCTCTCGGCTCTCCTCTCTCCTCCCCCTATTCTCTCCTCCTCCTTCCCTCTCTCTCCTCCTTCTCGCTCTCTCCTCTCTCCCGTCCCGTCTCTCTCTCCTCTCTCTCCTTCTCCCCTTTTCTTCTCCCTCTCCCCCTCCTCTCCGTCTCCTCTCTTCCTCCCCGCTTCTGATTCCGCCAAACCACAACCTCCTCCTGCTCGCTCTCTCCCTCTCGCCGTTCCCTGCCCGTGCGGCGACAGGTCCGCTCCGTTCTCTCTCTTCCTCGCTCTCCCCCCCCCTCTCCAGTCTTCCTCTCTTCCCTCTTCCCCTTCTCTCTCTCTCTCTCTCTCGGCAGGGGGCACTGTCAGATGAACCTGTCGCTTAATTGATTAATTATGTTTAGTTTACATCGACAATTTACGAAAAAGATTAAAATCACATTTACGATTTACTACGAATGTGGGTTTGCGAGAAAGACCAGTTATATTTGCCCTTTTTTTAAATTGATAGTTTACGAGGAGAGTTATGGTTACAGTCGCCTGCTTCGTATATCGTCGCGGATCTGGACCAGATGCTAGCAGCAAAAACGCGCATAATTTGCATCGTCCTCTGCTTGCTTCGGATGTCATGAGAATATATTATTAGCCAGATTTAGTCTAGCACGCATGAATCTCACACGTCGATTGCCGTTTGTATACGTAGTGTTCTAAACAGCGAAGTCGAAAAAATTATACGAAGTTCGCCGAACTAAATTAACTCTGCTGCAGATCCCACAAGACCTCGTTTCTTGTGGCATTTCGACGAAGAAATGTTTAAAGGATTTTCAATGTACCAGCGACCATTGCAGAAGATTTCGCCTATAATTTAATCGATTGAACACAATTTAATTGCACGATTAATTCTCTGATTTAACACTTGAAAACCTGAACTGCAATGGAAAATCGTAATAGCTCTTAACTGCATGTTCTATTATTAAATTATCCGTTTACTTAACTCAGAATGTAGTTATCGCGTTATTCACATAATTCGATTTGTACAGTCAGTGATTTAATCCAGAAGCGAATAGCGTACAAAATTGCATCATATAATGAAAGCAAACGTCGACAAAACATCGCTGGTACAATGGTCCACCGCTTTCATGCAGAATGACATGTGTGGCGTGCTCGGAGCTGGTAACATAACATCATGATACCATGTACATTTGCACGTATAATTATACGTAACGTGAAGATATGTCATTACGGAGGACAGGTTCGTGCTAGTTAACATATTAATATGTCGGCAGTCCCGATTGAAAATTTATGCTTAATCAGCTATCTGTAGGTAGCGCTCATGTTGCGTGCGCCATAGAGCAAGGCTAGAGCACACATTCTATTCACACTCGTCGACGCATGGGCTGTAATAATTAAGGCAAGTGGGCAGACCTAGAGCTGAAACTAGTTAGATTTTATTATGCGCGGTTTTTTATGTCAAGACATACTGCGATATAACGACCAACCGTAACGCGATATATGAGATAATTAATAACTAATTTTCCCAATGAGCTGTTGCAAACGCACGCGATAACCTCCGGCGACAACCGTAGCCACAAAAATATTTAAAATCGTTTCTAATTTCCAGCGACATAGTCGTGCAACACTTCATAAGTCACAGTCGTAGATAATGTTTTCATCTGCAAGTGACAAACATTTCGCAACGAAATTGGGCTGCTTAGCTATTTGCGGATTGCAATGGCGTCTGTCGACCAAACCATTTTATATGTTTAGGGAGATTCTGTTTTATAAGATATGGGTCATTTATTGTGCAAGGCAGCCCAGCTAAAATAAGACATTTGATTACGCTTAGCACAGAAATTCGAAATCAATAGTAAGCTCATGTAACATGAAACAGTCACGAGTTAACAAACTGAAAATGGCCGCCATTGTTTGGCGAGAAACGAGACGAGCCTATAACGCCATCCATTAACGCCTGTAGTGTGGCTGAGGCCAGTCGTTTCGACGTTGAACATTGGTTGGTCGTTGTCGCTGCAGTTTCTTTTGACCGTTAGCCTCCGCGATGAAAGCTAGCGCACAGCTTAGGATCCATCTTGTGTAACAGAAATTGCTTGGAAAGACGACAGCTGCATGGTTCAGTCAAATATTGGATGTATTTTTTCCGAATATCAGATAGTGATTCATTTTACTATATCATTACGGACAAGAGAAAATCATAGAATCAAAAATCAAACAAACCCAATCGTAGAACGTGAACGCAACGTTGCCAAGTATCGAGCGCCAAATACCTTATAGAAATATAAATGCAATTACCTAGAAGACGGTAACTGGGTTAGTCAACCGGTGAATAAGTTTGTTGGATGTCTTCCCGTTCTTATGTGGTGCCAAAATCTGCTATTTGAAGCCGATTAAGCCCTTGTTAGCCGAGCGATTATATCAATTCGCAAGCGCCGCATTCGCGACCAGTATTGTGCCAGTATGTCTCCCACTCGGCAGGGCCGCCGGTTACGTGTCTATGCCGACGGTTACTGACTACGCGTAGGTGTCAATGTCGTACCGGCGTCGAAGTGACGGCTAGAGAAAGAGAAAGATATGTATATATATATATATATTATTGTCTATTGATGCCGACCCAAGCAGCGTTACCAACTTAATAACGCGCTACGCTAGTTGCCGCCAGAAAAACAATTACAATAATTAAATCTACTTGTCGCGAACAGTAGACGAGTGTTATACTCACTCCGTACAACAATTAGCAAATTACAGTAATTATCCATTCGTTGCGTGCATAACGATGGACGCTCGCGCTATACAATGCATTAATTTCGGATTCATAGCACGATTTGTCTTTTTATCCAATCATCGACAATT